CATAATCTGCAGATGGGATCATCGCTGTATGTACCCATATTATATAGATGTTTTCTCAGATACCAGTGACCGGTTAGTCCACTCCTATGAGTTTTGCCCTCTCCAATTGCAGCAGTGTTTTTGCCAATCTTGGTGAGGGTTGTTTCATCATAAGTTTACTGTGTCTAGCACTGCTAGAATTTATCCACTTCTCTCTTTGTTTTGTTTGGATCCATTCTGCGATGGAGGATTTTTGTTATCCCAAGGATAGGTTCGGGGCCATGTATGGTCTTGCAGATCCTCATCTGGCCAGTTTGTCTGCTTCTTCGTTACCCAGAATTCCCCTGTGCTCTGGCACGCAAGATATCATCGGGTTGTTGTGTTTTCCCAGGTTTTGGAGATTTTGGATACATTCACTGACTAGTTTTGATGTAATTCTTTTACATGCCAATGCTTTAATAGCTGCTTGGCTGTCTGATCTTATGAGGATTTTTTTGTCAGTGTAACCTCTTTTAAGATTTTCCACAGAACAAGCGTTGATGGCATGTATTTCTGCTTGAAAGACCGAAGTGTACTTCCCTAATGAGTTTGATTGCTCATGTTTTGGGCTTGTACAGAAAACGCCTGATCCGGTTCCTTCGTTTGTTTTGGAGCCATTCGTATACCATATCATTGTATCTGATGCTCCCCTGTGTTCTTCCTCTCCTTTATAGTCTGTTGAGACTTTATAGGAAGTTGTGAAGATTGTTTCCGGGATCATGTAGGCAGTCCCCATTTCTAATAATGGGTGTCTGATTTTATTGATTATGGTTGTGTGCCTGAATTGTTTGGTTCCTTTCCAATTTAATTGTTTTTGGAGCCTAAATGAGCTTTTCCTAGCCTCTCCTTGTGTGAATATTTCTAGTGGAGGTAGGTTTAGCAAGGTTTCTAATGCGTTTGTAGGGGTTGTTCTCATCGCCCCTGTGATACATAGGTTTGCTAGTCTTTGTAAGCTGCCTAATGTTTGGGTAGCTACTTTTTGTTGAGCATTGTTCCACCAGATTAGTGATCCGTAGGTCATTCTGGGTCTTATTACTGCCGTGTATAGCCAATAGGCCATTTTCGGTTCCCCAGGATTTGCCTAAGGTCCTTCTTGTGGTCATTAGCGATATTTTACTTTTTGCTACTGTATGTTGCAGGTGAGGATTCCAGGTTATTTTCTTGTCAAAGATTATTCCTAGATATTTGACCTCATTTTTTAAAAGCAGCATTTCGTTATAGAAGCGTAATCCTTGTATGTCTATATTTCTTTTTTTGGTGAAAGCAATTAAGGTGGTTTTTGAGGGGTTTACTTTAAGTCCCCGTTTTAAACACCATTGTTCCACCAGGTTTAGTGCTCGTTGGGTGAGCTCTTTTAATGTTGAGTCGAATTTTCCCCTGACTAGTATGACAATGTCATCTGCATAGCCTTGGTTGTAAATTTCACTTTCATTTAGTTCGCATATGAGGTCGTCCACTACCACATTCCACAGCAGAGGCGAGAGTATTTCACATGCATACTAGCAGGGCACTATCTACCGACCATACCACCAAGGAAAGGTTGCTTAAAAACAGGTAGAACTGACTGAATTCTCACAGAAATTGGCTAGACACGCTCAGGCCAGTTTCCTATCTAAATTAGGCAAATTGAGCGTCTGGCAAACATTAAATAGGCTCATTTTGCTTTATTTTTATTTTTCGATTTTGGTCGCCAATGCGTGCTCGGTTGGACGAGCACTCATGTTTGGTAGTTTGGAAAAGTTAAAAGTGATTAGGGATAGTGAGGAATTATTAAAGGTCAGGAATGATTTGGTTCTGTTAGAGATAATCAAGAATGATAAGACATGGGATGGTTAGTGATGGCAAGGAGTGGTTTCTTCGGTCCGCCTATTCCCGCTGTTTTGCCCTGTCTCGAGGCACTTCGGCTTTTCGCCATATTCGCTGGATGATTTGGTTAGGCAGGTACTTGCTGGTTTGGACAAGTACTCAAGTCTGGTAGCTAGGGACGTTTAGAGGTGATTAGGGATGGTTGGGAATTAGTAGAGAAGATCAGGAATGATGTGGCTCCGTTAGAGATTTTAATGATTGGGAGTTTTGTGGCTCTGAAAAGGGGCCGGTGTTGTTTCGTAGCGTCGAGACGATGGTTCTAGGCCGAGACCGTGTGAGTGGTCCGGGGCGGTGAGTCGGTTGACTCCACAGAGGCCGAAGGTACTGGAGTGCAGCAATCAACGAGAGCAGTAGTTGACTGTGTTTAAAAGGCGAGAATCAGGCTAATGCTGCGTGTACCCTTGCTGTCGTCGACGGTGTTCCATTAGTGATTTGTAAGAGCTCGTCGGGTTGACGAGTTTGCTGTCGTTGACCATTAGCGATGGGTGAGACCTCATCGAGCTGACAAGTCTGGTTTCAGTGGGGCAGTGCGCCTGCTTATATTTGGAAGGGCTATACTCTGATTGGCTGCAGAGTGGAGGGCGAGAACATTCCGTAAGTGGTAGTAGCATCTAGCGGTAGCGTGGAAACTACAAATGGCCATTACAGAGATAATCAAAAATGATTAGACTAGTGATGGTCTCTTCGGTCCGCCTATCCCCACAGTTTTGCCTTGTCTCGATGCCCTTCGGCTTCTTGCCATATTCGCTGGTTGTTTTCGTTAACCAAGGGCAAAAACGGTTAGAGACGTTTATAGATGATTAGGGGTGGTTTAGTACTGTTTAAGATGGTCGTAATGGATATGGGTGGTTAGGATTGATAAAAGATTGTCAGGAATGGTTTGCACTGTGATAGATGATCAGGAAAGTTTAGATTTGGTCAGGAGTGGTTAATTGTGGTTTGGGCAAACAAGAGAATCACAGGAACGGTTAGAATTGGTGAGGGATAGTTAAGTACTGTTAGAAATGGGAAGTTGTTGGTAAATGGTTTGGTATAGTTAAAGATGGTCAGAAACGATTAGATGTGCTTGGGAAAGATTAGAGGCGGTGACAGATTGTTCAAAATAGTCAGGAGTGGTTAAGAATGATTAGAGATGGTTTGGAACGATTTGGTACTGTTAGTGAAGGTCCGGAATGATTAGAGATGGCTAGGGATGGTTACTGAATGTAATAAATGAGATTTTATATATTACAATTAAAACGTTCAAAATAGTCATTTAGAAATTTTAAAATATAGTATTAACAAAACTGGTTTTAATTAACTGTGAATTCAGTGTTAATTGTTACTGTCGATTGTACGTTTCTTGAGAAAAAAAAATCAATCAAATTATTAGGCGATAGTCAATGGCCGCTCCCGATCAATTTTGGTCCGCCTATTCTTGCTGGTTTTGGACAGTACTCAAGTCTGGTTGTTAGGAAATGTTAGAGATGATATGGAATGGTTAAGAATTATTAGAGAAGGTCAGGAATGATTTGGTTTTGTTAGATAATCAAGAATTCACGTGGGATTGTTAGTGATGGCAAGGAATGGATTGGTTTTGTTAGAGATCAGCAGAAAAGGTTTAATAATGTGAGAGATAGTCAGGAATGGTTAGTGAATTAGTACTATTAGAGTTTGTCAGGAATGCTGAGAGGTGGTCAGAGATGGCCATTCATAGTTTAATATTGTTAGAGATAGCCACGAATATTAGCGATAATCAGAGATGGCCAGGAATGATTTGGAACTCTTAGAAATCTCCAGGACTTGTTAAAGATGGTTGTGGATGGTTAACAACGATTAGTGATAGTTGAGAATGGTTTGATACCGTTAGAGATGTTTACGAAAGGTTAGGAATATTTATTATAGAAACCTCTCCGACCCGACAGTATGAGACGGCCTGCCCTAGAAACAGCCGATTAAAAATAGTGAAGATGCACAATAGAAATGGTTGTATGTGGTGATTAGTGACCGTTAATCGATAATTACTCAGAAATCGTGAGATGCGGTCTGGTGTGATGTAGGTTTCAGAAAAACATTTTCTTTATCGTGCCAACGTNGATGATCTCAATAAAGATCGAAACGTTGGCACGATAAAGAAAATGTTTTTCTGAAACCTACATCACACCAGACCGCATCTCACGATTTCTGAGTAATTAAGAAATGGTTATAGTTGGTAGGAAAGTCTAGTGACTTTACGTTAGCCGACTTTTCCTTATCATCCCTGACCATCTCTGTCCGCCTTTAACTATTCCTGACAACATCTGACCATTTCTAAACTATCTCTAGCAATTCCTAATCACTTATCAACATTCATGACCATCTTTAACATTACCAGACCGCCCCAAGAATTCTTAAGGAAGAAAGAACGTATCAGCGAGGATAGGCCGACCGAAACGATCGGTAACGACAAAGCTTATATTGCTACGGTTGCCGAGTCATAAGGACTATCTCATATGCTTGGGGTTTTTGGTTTTCGGTAATAAACCATGTAGTTCCAATTGAAAATATTTTTTTAATTAAAAAATATCTAATTAGGCAATGGCCGTTGAACATCCTTTATGACAAGAATTACTTAATTTATTTGCACTTTACTATATGGAGGTGCTTTGTTCCAACCAAGCCGGATCGGGTTTTTCTCGACGCGTGCTTCGATCTCTCGGAAAACCCACGAACCCAATCGAGCTTTATAAACTTTTGCCAATATTTATTTTCCATTTTTGATATTAAGTTTTGGAAATTTCGATTGCATGTTTGTTTTTTGAGTAATAATGTGCGAGTTTTGTTTGTGTAATGTTGATTTTTGTAGGTTAGGTTTTGAAAAAATGTTATATTTTAGTTTTGATTTTTTTTGTAACTTAATTCGATTTGGTGCTTAAATTGAATATGATGTTTATTGGTGTTGTAAATAGCGGAGGGCGTGTGTGCCCTTCCGAGGTTCGAGGTTTATTGAACCAACCCTCACGGAGGCACGTGTTGTTATGTTGGTAGCCTTCTTCCCCCACCATGCCATTCTTCCCCTACCGTCTTTACCCCCCACCCACGGCCAGCCACTTCCCCTCTCGCTGGCTCGGGACGTGGTGGGGGCACCCTAGCCGTAAGGGGAGTTCAGTAACAAACGAGCGGTCTTCAGTGGTCCGTCTGGTTCCGTGAAGTTCGAACCGTGGAATAAGAAGAATATTGGCAGGCAGGAGTCACCGTCTTTCGCGCGGGTGCCGGCAACCCGAGGGAGCGTTTTTTTTAAGTGATTACCCGATTTTTTTTTTCACTCCTTACCGCTCTTCCTCGATTTTCTTCCCCCCTTATCGAGAGTGCCGACTGTGATATTGTGCCTTTTTTTCCTGATAAGAGAGCTTTTTTTTCTTCTTTCGCCTTTAAGTCTACCCGGCCGCCTTTTTTTCGAGACGGACGCGCGGCTACAAGAAGTGACTGAAGGTAAGCAAGCGGCAGCCCCGGCCCGCGAAAAAACGTCGGGTTTAAAAAAAGCCATCGGCCTGACGCTCCCGAATGTGTGTATTTTAGTCTTAGCGACACACTTAGATATAACTTTTTTATACCCACTATTCCAATTCACCACGCGCTCGGACGACACATAAAAACAATTATTTCTCTTACTAACTATAAACACAATTTAAAAAAAAACCGCAGAAATTTCTAAATAATGTACAATTTTTGGGGGTAGGCGATTCACCATCAAAATATTCGCGTTGTTTGGGTGGTACGCATTGACCGAGAGGAACCTCCCTTTCGAGTAACCTTACGCTGTCAAAGATAAACAGAGCTTTGCTTTCGAGCTACCGACCTAAACCTATCAACAACAAAAAAAAAGAACAAAAATTATCTTTAAAAACTTGCAAAAAAAAAGATACAAAAATTCCAATAAAAAACATGAAACTCGTGACAATTTTTCCACCCGGTTGAAAAACAAAATTGTAATGTGTAATTCTCGTCCGTCGAACCTCGGCCTCCGCTAATCTCATGCTCTGAATTGGAAAATAATAAGCTCTCTCATTCCTCTTCCCCTCGCCTCTATAGCAAGGCTATAACAACGAAGTAACAACATAAATAACAATCGGTGAGGCAAAAAAATAAAATTGTTACTATTATAGACCCTTGTCCAATTTCTGCCAGAGCGATTCCTATAATGGTTACAGAGGATCGGATTGTTTTTCACAGGCTTGGGCAAAACTGCTCAATTCCAATTTAACAAAAGAAAAAATGCCTAAAAACAAAATATCCAACTTGTCCATATTTAATTTTAAACATGTAAATAATTTACGTTGTTTTTAAACAGTTTATAAAACTTGGATTTTCTTTGTTAAAACGACAAATTGGTATTATAATTGATAAGCTTGGCTAATTTATAACCTGGCCGAAGATAACCTCACGTCAGTTTTTTTTAACCCTTGGTAAAATCGTTATTAGAATATCAAATTTGATTTAAAACTAACATCAAATTTGTTTGTTTTTTCCTACAAAAACTGTCGTGAACAGGTTTAAATAAAAAATTTCGAATATATTATAAAATTTGATGTAGGATAAGTTTGTTTAAATTATAACCTTGTCCAATGAAACCTCAAAGTAAAGTTTTTGTCATTTTTAAATGTAAAATCGTTTTTTATTCTAGGAACAGCAAATTTTAAACGAAATCTAACGGTATAATTGTTATTTTTCCTCTTCATTTAACTAAGTCTTAAAGTAGGATGTTTTGCATAATTTATAACCTGGCTGGTTGGAACCTCAACGTGTTTGCTAACCATAATTTTGATTTAAAAAAATCCATATGTTTAATGATTTGATTTAGTGGCATTCATCTAGCGATTTATTTCAATTTAGGCCAAAATTGGCTGACAAACAATTTTGAAAATAGATTTTTACCTGTAGTGAAGACTTGGCTGAATTTATAACCTGACCGAAGAAAATTTCACTGCACTGTTTTTGATGAATTGTTCGGAAAACAGTCTTTAGAATATTAAATTTTACCCAAATAACTAACATCAAATTTGCATTAGTTTTTTATATTCTACATTCTATAAAAACTGTTGTGAACAGGTTTAAGTAAAACTTTTTGAATGTTTTATAAACTTTGGCGTCGGATAAGTTTGTTTAAATTAGGACCTTGCCCAAATGAAACCTCAAAACACTGTTTTTCCCAGTTTTTAAAGTCAACCCATGTTTTATCCCTTAAATAGCTGAATTTATTTAAAATGTAACAATAAAATTGGTATGATTCCTCTTTATTTACCTAGGTCTTAATGTATGATGTTTTGTGTAAATTATAACCTGGTCGGATAGAACATTAACGCGATTATTAACTATAATTTTTATTTTTGATTCCAGTATCATCAGTGTCATTCCAGTAAATATAAATAATATAAATATATAAATATAACAAAAATGCCTTAGGAACTGAGTAAAAATCGATTTTACTTCAATAGTGAACTTGTAATCTGAAGTTTTAACCTGGCAGAAGAAAACTTCACTGCAAAAATCGTAGTTAGAATATAAATATACAGGGTGAATTGCTACTCGTGCTACAAACTTCTCCAGTAGATTCTTCACCCTAAAATGAACAAAAAAGTTCATATTGTCCATGGTCCGNGACCATGGACAATATGAACTTTTTTGTTCATTTTAGGGTGAAGAATCTACTGGAGAAGTTTGTAGCACGAGTAGCAATTCACCCTGTATATTAAAATCTAACATCAAATTTATTATTTTTCTTCAATCGACCAAAACTGTTATTAACAAGTTTAGATAAAAGATTTCAAGTATATTATACAATTTAGTAAAGATAAGCTTACTTAAGTTATAACCTGCCCGATAAAACCTCAAGGCACATGTTTTTCTCATTTTTAAAGTCTAATCGTCTTGTGTACCACAAATAGCTGATTTTATTTTAAATTGGTGTTATTCCTCTTTATTTAGCTAGGTCTTAAAGTAGGATGTTTTGGGTAAATTATAACCTGGGTGGATAGAATCGCAGGACCTTGTTCTTTACTTTTTTTAAATCCATAAATCTAAAATCCATATCTCCCATGATTTAAATTAGTAGCATTCCTTTTGCGATATATTTCCAGTTAGGCGAACTGTTTTAAAAATCGATTTACATCGCGGATTCGTTATCAGATAACAAAGAGAAGAGAGAAAAATCTTTATTTTCTTTCTTCTTTTATTATCACATCAATTCAAAGTTTTTGTCGAAATCAATTTGCCTTTTCTGGTAACAAAGGTTGTGTGCCTACCATCAAACGTGGTTAAATTATAACCTGGCCATTTAAAACCTACAACTATTCCTTCCGACTTTCGATTTATTTAAAAACATCGTTTTTCCAGCAGAAATTGTATGTCTATATTTGTTTCCTTATAGAATCGTTGATATATCTTAATGTGTATATCGATTCTGTATTTTCATATACGCCATTAAATATCGGTTGAATACACTTTATTTGACATATAGGTGGTGCACAATAAGGTTAGTTAAACATTCTAGCCTGTGTTCATTGTTTAAAATAGCATTACTTTTCCAATATTTCCAATGTATATTTTTTTAATTTAACATAATTTATGTGTTGATTATTTATTTACATTCAAAACTATATTGGTCCAGTTTGACTGTATAATCGAATTGTTTCTACTGAGTTCAAAATTCGTTAAACGCAGTTTAAAAATCGATTTTTTCTGTGTTGGATCTAAAGTTGGTGCGCTATAAGCTTTGTTAAATATTCTTACCTGGCTGTTTGAAACCTGAAAACAATTTTTCCTGTATTTATTCGGCCAATTCCCAAAAAGATAATACACATAGCCAGGGTGAATAATGATTAATTATTTTTCTTATAATTTGCAGTTTGGCATTTTGTGCAAGATGAGAGGGGGGGCGCCATGTCTGTAGCGAGTTGGGAGCGTTATGGGGGCAACAGGTCGTATATCCTAGCTGGTGGTAACTCTATACAAGGTGATGCATAAAGCCTATGTACAAACGAGACCGGCATCCGGACGCCCCAAACCAGAATCGTGTTCATGAAAAAATGTTTTTTGCCCTAATAACTTAATAAAACGCGTTTGACTTTTATTTTCTCTTCTTTTCACTTTTTTCTTTTCTCTACTTGTTTGTTCTTCTGTCTGTCTGTCTGTCTGTCTCTCTCTCTCTCTCTCTCTCTCTCTCTCTCTCTCTCTCTCTCTCTCTCTCTCTCTCTTTCTCTTCTATCTCTCTCTCTCGCACTTTTTCTTTTTCTCTCTCTTTTTCCATCAGAGATAGTTTAACTATTTTATTTGTACTCCAATCAACCCACCAGGAAGAAACTGAAAAAAAGTCTGCCCCTGACCCCCCAGGCAGAGCCGATTCGTCACAATTTACCAACGTACCGGCTCAGGGAAAACCTTTCGCTTTTTTCCGACGGTTTTTCGTTTCTTTTTAACTCTCTCCTTTCCATCGAATGGAAGCTAATTATTTGCTAGACGAAAAAAAACCGTTTTATCTACCAGTCTCCGTTCGGAGGTTTTATCAAAAAGGATTTGTTAGTAAACAGGGCTTTCATCTTAATCACTTCCTTCATATCAGTGCATAATCAATAGGTAGGACGAAATTCTCAAAAATATGGGGTTTACATTATAAATTCTCAGGGAATTGTACTTTCGGCCGTTTACAAACAAACAATGAGAAAAAAGCTTGAAAAATGTCCGAGCGTTGAATCATAAGATGTTTTCTAGTACGACCTATCCTCGGGCCTATTTATGAAAATAATTTTTTTTTAATTTGTGGTTTTTTGGTACAGTACATATATAAAACTGTCGAGACGAATGACGCACTGGAATTTCAAGGACCCCTTTGTAATCTCGGTCCAAATATACATTTTAGCTATACAGGAGTGTAAATTTTATACGCGAGATTTCGCACGGTTTGTATTAGGTTTTGTTTATCGCCGGTTACAGTCGCTCAACCAGGTCAGGCTGATATTGACGCTGGTCCAATAAACGTCAAACCGAGTACGCGTATAAAACTAATTCCGAACATCCCTTCTCATGAGATTATATGATTCTAAATTGGTACGAATCTTTTTCCCTAAAGGTTTTTTAAATTTATTACCGTTCGGTTTAGTGGACCTGAAATGACCTTTCTGCACGGGCGAAAACACTTTTAAACGCGTCGGTCGATAATGTCTGAATGACCATAGGTTAAAAGAAATCTATAAAAGTCAATATAAATTCTACTTTCTGGAGTTTGGTAGTTTCAGATTATTTTTGTTTGCTGTACTCTCGCGGTTTGATCTGGCAGATGTATTTCGGTTTAGCCGTCTACAGTGCTGGGTCTGTACCATACTTAACCATTCCTGACCACCTTTTTCCACATCTAATCACTGGTACTCATCCCTAATTGCACCCGAACTATCTCTAACCATCAAACCGTCTCTATCCACTTCCAACCGGTCCAGCCCATCTTAATATTAATTTGGACTATAGTCTATAAGACTATTTTTTCGTACATATTCTTTATAAATCGACTAATTCTGTTGTTAAAAATGGTCCAATCTTGTTTTTAATGGTCATTAACGATGTGTCCTCCTGTTCCAAACATTCAGAATCTGTTGACAGATGATATAGAAATTTTGTTACCGTTGTCAGTAATGTTGAGGGAAATAAACGTGCTTCTGCAGGAGGGTTTAAAATTTTGGATTGGTTCAGAGCATAGTTGAGTAAAGTTCGGTTTGGTTTCCTTGGGGCATTCAATCTGAGTTTAATAGTTGAATATAATTGATTAATTAATGGTTGAAACTGTGCAAAATATTCTCCCTTCAGGATCGCTCTCTGTTGACGGTGATGTGTTTCTTGTAGAAAGTGATAAACGGCCATTACTCCTGTCCAGAACTTCTCAGTCGGATAAATCTCCATGTCACTATTCACAGTTGTCGTCAGCAGCATAGTTTTTTCACCCAGTTTCATAGAACTAATTACAGGAAATTTTGTAAAATGGCTTTACTTTCAAACGGCCTTTAATGAAATCTTTGACGTGCACCATTTGGATCCTTTTTTAATGCAAAAATATATACGTAAATGCTTGTACTCATGATTATAACTAGTATTAGTTTTGGCACTCAGAAAACTGTACGTTTTTCTTAATTTTAAATATTATACAATTAATTAAGGTTATTAGTTGAGATAAAAAAGTCAGTGTCACGAGCGGTATTCGAACCCACGACCTTCGGCTAGATACGCCGCTGCTCTACCACTTGAGATATCGTGACTTCGATCCATGCGGACACTAACTTCCCATCTCAACCCCACTTTTTGAAAAATGGCAAAAAGGAGGGAAAATTCAAATTCAACCACGAAATTAGTCAATTTAAATATTGTGTTATGACCGTACTGATTAGAGGGTCATCATGTACTAGAATAAATAAATTTAAACTGTATTGTTAATTGTTACTGTCGATCTTGAGAAAAACCAATTAGCTAAAATAATTAGGAGATAGTTATTGGTCATAAATAATTTAGCAATCTAGGCAATTGAAGCGAGAAATTGATTGGCAGGATCGGTTATCGTTAACAATTATCTCGGACGTACATAATGAGCCAATATTGTTACATTGTGGCGTTTTGCGCCGAGGCTTGCGGATTGATGGACCTGCTATTGGGCCCCTTCCGATCAATTTTAGTCCGCCTATCCTTGCTGGTGGGGTCAATACTCAAGTCTGATGCGTTTCCGCCTCCCTTCATCGGATAGTTTCGTACTGTAAGGCAAAATCAGAGACGATTAGACGTAGTTAGGAAAGGTTAGAGGTGAATAGGGATGGTTAGAAGTGATTTGGTGCTATTAGAGATAGTCAAGAATCATTAGAGGTGGCTAGGGATGGTTAGTGATGGCAAGGAATGGTTTAGTTCTGTTAGAGATGGCCAGTAATATTTAGAGAACGTCAAAAATGATTAGATGTGCTCAAGAATAGTTAGAGGGGGTTAGGAATGGTTAAACAGGATTGTTAGATAATGTCAGGAAGGATTTGGAACTGTGAAAGGTCGCCAAGAATATTAGGAATGTTTAGAGAAAGTCAGGAATGGTATGTTACTTCTAGAAATTGTCAGAGATGAATATATGTGCTCGGCGGAACCGGTAGAATAGTCAGGAATGTTTACAGATTCGGAATGCAGGAATGTTTAGAGGTGGGTACGGATGATTTGTGAAAGCATGTAATGGTTTAGTACTGTTAGATATGGTCAGGAATTTTTAGAGGGAGGCAGGAAAACTTCGGTTTTATTAGATATGGTCAGGAATGTTTAGAGAGGGTGTGACACTGTTAGTGGGGGTCAGGAATTTTTAGAGAGAGGCAGGAAAAGTTTAGTTCTATTAGAAATGGTCAGAAATGTTTAGGGAAGGTTTGATACTATTAGATATGATCAGGAATGTTTAGAGAAGGTCATGTAATGATTTAGTAGTTTTAGAGTTGGTCAGGAATGTTTAGAGAAGGTCAAGTAATGATTTAGTAGTTTTAGAGTTTGCCAGGAATGTTTAGAGAATTTCAGAAAAAGTTTGATTCTATTAAAGATGGTCAAGAATGTTTAGAGAAGGCCAGGAGAAATTTAGAGCACGTCAGAATGTATGGCTTTTATGATTGGGAAAAGCCTTAACGTGTCCGACAATACAAGGATAGCCGGATTTTTTTTAAATAATTAATTTATTTTTTTTAACGAGGGTTCGCAACAGCAGAGGTTATATCAACCCTCGGGGTAGAATGCAGGGCCGCTGGATTCGAACCCGGGACCTTTACCTTATAGTGATGAGCGCCGTGTCAACGCCTAAACCGTTGCGGCCACCGACGCCCCTCCGGATTTCTTATTGAAAATGAAACGGTTTAGTTAGCCAATCATGTGTAGAAATAACTCTTAGGTCGTTCATCTGAGTGGACCCTCTTAATATCCTCGCCTTAAGGTGTAAACACGGTCTATTTATAAAATCCGGTATATTTTAATGGAATTCTTTACGCTCGTTTTAATTGTGCAATAGGCGGTTTAAAAAAAGTATCATTGTTGGATTATGAACCATACCCAGTTGTTTCTTAGAGTCCTTACCGACCAACGGTTGTCGCGATGGATCAGAACTACTTTACATCTCTTTTGTTACAAGTTGTTCACAAATAAAATTATAAGTGTTATGCCAGGATTCTACTAATATCATAAGTGTTATGCTGTAACATTATCTGACTTTTCAATGTGGTGAAAGTAAATTTCAAGTTTAGACTGTGAGGCCTGAGTGAAAACGTACCGCGGGCCTTGGTTCGTTACCAGGCGTTCTAGTGGTAGGGAGAGGGTTAAGGTCGGACTGGGGGGGGGGTTCCGCGATTGTAAGAGAAAAGAAAGGACGATGGCTTCATACATAAAAAACATATAGGCTCCAGTCTCTGCATCCATCCACTCTTGTCCTAATGTTTTCTTTTTCTTTCAGGCGTGGTGTAGGTGTGTAATGGTCGGAGCGAATGCCCTCATCCCTGGGAAGGAGGCGGCAGTCAGTGGAAGTCGGGTGGATGGACGATGCAAGGCCTAGGACTCCAGACTCCACAGCCAAAACCCACCGGCTCTGGAGCCTAGCCCGCCCGCCCGCCGCTCCCACCCATGGCACAACAGTCACGTGAGTACATTTCATTTGATTTTCTTCCTATATCATTTATCTTTTATGGTCGTTTGTTGTAACCTATTTTCTCTTTCGAAATCGTTAAGATAAAAGTGTCCGTTTGTCATGTCTGACGGTCTGAAAACGGCAAGGTCTTATCAGGGCGAGGGTCACGTCCAACAAGACCGACTTCAAGGCACGTTTAAACCGTTATCATTAATGCCAAGATGTACGGAGTCGAATGTAAACGTGCATCCTTCTAGTCGTTAAAAGCCGTGTAGCACCTTGTCGGAAGTGCCTATCCGCTTTTAGAATTAAAAGATTCCGGTGAGTTTTTCTTTTGTTAAGTCCCAAACCCTCGTTCGAAATCTATTCCAGGCGATGGCCTTCTGCAGACGGCCTGACTCAGCGGTCAGCTCCTGGCCCCGGCTGGAATCTCTCTTCGGCTCGATTTTTCTCGGAATTTGCCCCGGACGTGACGGTGAACGCGAGGAGAGCGGGTTTTGTTTAGTCTTGTCCCCTTTTCTAAACAGAGATGTATATTTACACTGCTGAGACGTGCAGGTTCTGGGGGACGACGGCTGCACCGGCCGACGGGGGGCTGCACCGGCAAGGACGTCTTACGTCAGTGTTCGACCTCGCCGTCCTCGCCCAGACGTTTTCTTTTCTTTCCTTTTAGTTTTTACTATTTTTAAACTGTATTTGTGACCTTATGATCTTGAAAAGAGACGAAATCTGTTTTAGATTTTCCATGCGGATACTCAGTCTGCCTCCAAGCCACACCGTATGTCATTTTTTGTTTATTCTTATTTGTTTCATTCCTATATCTATCTATACACCATACAATACTTAATTAATCTTTATTACGTTTAATTAAACTTACTCGAGGGGAACATTTCAATTTAATCATCTTGAAGTTTCAACCTGTCTCAAGAGCAAATCCAAATGCCATATTTCCCAGCCCCTCTTATTTTATTGTACAATTTCTAAAATATTTTCTTCTGCACACATTTATTGAAATTCCCCCAATATCTAAAGCTTATAAATTTAATTTTTGCGTTTTCAGATTTAACCATGGCATGCAACCCTTGTAGTTTATCAAGGGGACACCTCCTCCTCCTCTCCTGGTCGGCGTTTCGTTTACTTACGAGCCCGATATAGTATTTAGCGATCCGAAATATACCCAGACTAAACAAATGAAGTACAGATGCCGTTCCGATGAGACGGCATTCTGTTTTTTGCCCTACTCCATTTAATGTCAATTTTAGATATCCGGATTTAAATCCGGGCTTAAATACGAAATGCCGAGACGAAATAGCAATAGTCTTTCCTCTCCCACGTTTGTTTTGTTGGGTTTGAAACTTATTTTAACTTGCATACCGATCCCATTTTCGGTTTAGTTTCAATACCCGGGAAATTTAACAATAAGAACAAAAAACCAATTTACCTAGGCTCAAAACACGTTTTTTTCCACACAGCTCATGTTGGATCCAAATTGATCATCTCTGGCCCTTAACTAAACTTGATTACTTCCACTTGTTGTCCACGAAAAAAATGATACCATATCCACATTGAATTGGAAACAATAGAGAAACTAAATAGAATTGAGGAAAGTATTAAGGCTAAAAGTGAAGAAAGTGTCAGATGTCCAAAAACCGTAGCCAAAGTGCTACGTTATGACATTGTTCTTGGAATTATAAAAAACACTTGTACACTTGATTAGGGAAGGTGAAGAATGGTTATAGTTGACAAGGGGATTATGAATGGTTAGAGGTGATTAGGGAGGAGTTAGAATGGTTAGGTGGTTATAGAAGGTTAGGGGTGGTTAGAGATGATTTGGAAACGTTAAGGATTGTTAGAGATGATTGGGAGGGTTTAGGATGGTTAGTGGTGGTTATAGATGGTTAAGGATGGTTAGAGGTGATTAGGGAGGATTTTGGATGGTTAATGGTGGTTGTAGAGGGTTAGGGGTGGTTAGAGATGATTTGGAAACGTTAAGGACTGTTAGAGGTGATTGGGAGGGTTTAGGATGGTTAGTGGTGGTTATAAATGATTAAGGATGGTTAGAGATGATTAGGGAGGATTTTGGATGGTTAATGGTGGTTGTAGAGGGTTAGGTATGGTTAGAGATGGTTAGAGATGATTTGGAAACGTTAAGGATTGTTAGAGGTGATTGAGAGGGTTTAGGATGGTTAGTGGTGGTTATAGATGGTTAAGGATGGTTAGAGGTGGTAGGGAGGATTTTGGATGGTTAATGGTGGTTGTAGAGGGTTAGGGGTGGTTAAAGATGATTAGGAAACCTTAAGGATTGTTAGAGGTAATTAGGGAGTTAAGAATGTTTAGAGATGATTGGGAAGATTTAGGAAGGTTAGTGGTAGTTAGAGAGATTTAAGGATGGTTAGAGATGATTAGAAAACGTTAAAGATATAGAGAGGTAATTAGGGAGTTAAGGATGGTTAGAGATGATTAGAAAACGTTAAGGATATAGAGAGGTGATTAAGGGGGTTAAGAATGATTAATGGTGGTTAAAGATCGTTAAGTGGTTAATTTAACCCTCTATAACCGTTTCTAACCATTCTTTAACCTCCCTAATCAACTCTAACCATCCGTCACGTTCCGTAATGGCCTCTAACAACCCTTAAACATCGTTAACCATCTCCAATCACTTCCACGATTATATTACAAGTTTTTTTTTATAATTACAAGAACAATGCCATGGTTTTTTAGGCCTCTAACACTCCATCATTTACTATTAGCCTTAATGTTTTCCTCAATTCTATTTAGTTGGCCAACTATTGTTTCTCAACTCCCAGAACTTGTTTGTCAGTTATTAATCGTTGTCAGTTTCAACGTAGACATGGTATCACTCTTTTGTGAACAACAAAAGGAAGTCATCAAGTTTATTCAGGGGCCAGAGATGATCAATTTGGTTCAAACTTCTTTTGTCAATGTCACCACGGGAAGATGGGGGGAGTCTAGGCGAGCCAAAGATAATGTTTCAGACCTCGATTATCGTCTCGCCAGAATCCCTGTGAACCCGAGCCTTTTCTCTTTGAACCAATTGTCCAAGGAGCCATTTTACCACATATCGTAAATTTAAAAAATGGTGACTCAGTCGAAGAGACGGACCGAGATGGCCAGGAATAGAAGTGGGATCGTTGTTTACATTCCGGAAGATAACCCTTTGGCAGACGGTGCAGACAGACGAAAACATAAAAATTTATTTTCGTCCCCGTCGTTCCATTGTTCCTTTATCCCCCCGGACCCAGGTGAGGGCGACGTTTGGGGGGAACTGCGTAGGGCTCGCGGTCCGCGCGTCCCGGCCGCGTCTCCCTGCTTTAATTCGTTTTAAATTCGTTTAAAAAGGAAGGACGAATTTATGGAGGGGATCCACGAAAAAGGAGACCCGGTGGGGAACGGTATCACTCCCTCTTTACTATCACGATGTTTTATCATTATCCAGTTCGGAACTGTTCGCCAATACGTCTTGTTATTTACTAACACACCATGGACGCGATTTTACACGTAAGAACTCACACACATACATTTCTAGTTATATAATTTCGTGGAAAAAAAAATTTACAGACGAAAGAAATTCTTTGCTTTATTTAGAGGAAAATCCCCCCTCCAAATTTTATAACAAACATTTAAGAGATTAGTCCGCTGTTTATCAACGGCCGGTTGACTCATCGTTGAGTAAAGTCTGGACGTTTATCAGGGCAGGCTATCTCACGATAATGGCTCAGTTGCAAAACAATATTTTTTTTATTATTCCCTCAGATCAAAACAGAAATAAACTTCTATTTTTTAAAATCAAAAAGTTTTTAACACAATACACTTTTTTTCAAACTAGTTTATCAAAAATCACACTGGTGAGTATAATTTTTTATAACTGGCAGAGAATCGTTTTATTAGTTAATAACAGTTCACGTTGTAATAAACTTAACAATGCAAATTACACGAGTATTTTGGTCGCTCAATTTTGGTCTGCTTTCCATAGCTGTTTTGGTACCCCCCTCCGAAGTCGACATCAACAATGTTGAAAATTGTCGCAATGTGTTACATGCATTATATATACTTCATGGCGAGAAGAATTATTTTACACCCTGTTATCGGGCAACGCTGAGAGGCAACACTGAATAAAAACGAACGGACTATGGAAAAAAAATCAAGGAAAACCAAACAACTTCACATCCTGGAATCAGTGTTGCCCCCAGTGTTGCGAAAAACGGGTTGGAGGGAAAAACTTTCTGTTTTCCATATTGTCCAATGGGTCTCTCTCTTTCTTTCTCGCCCTTTTTCGCTCTCTTTTTTGTAAAGTGATTTTTTGTGCTCCAATCCACTCACCTGGGAGAAATGGGTTTAAAACAGGTTAAAATAAAGCTATAAAATTCATGTTTATAGAATAATGATAGAACGCTAATAAAACTACAAATAATTCACTTGGAAATCAAACAAACATTATGGATGTTGAAGAACGGGCAAAACCAGACAACTACACTTCCCGGAAACAGTGTGTCCTCCAGTGTTGCCAGAACACGGGATGGACGGAAAAGCAGTGTACCTATTTGTACATAGTAGCGACTTTTTGATAAGTCTTAATAATGCTTCAAGAAATTTCTAGGAAATCGGAGTAGTAAAATTTATATTGTATATTATATATTTTTTGAGTTTAATTTTTACTTTGTTAGATGGTCTCTCTCTCTCTCTCACTCTCTCTCTCTCTCCCCCTCTCTCTCTCACTCTCACTCCCTCTCTCCCTTTCACCCTCTCTCCCTCTCTCTCTCTCTCTCTATCTCCCTTTCTATCTATCTTTCTCTTCCTCTTTCTTTTCTGTCTCAGTTTTTCTCCTCCAGCGTGCCTATTTTTTTTACCTCTATTACTGTGTCTTCTCATTTTCTTTCATTAAATCTGTCTTTGTCTTTCTCTCCGTACCGTTCTTTTTCTCTCTAAACCCACAATGCGAAATTATGTCATTTATGGGACATTCAATCATAAGTTAAATAACGTTAACCCACTATGAAAATAATCAACGGACTAAACCAAAAAAGCGCACATCCTCGAACCAGTGTTGCCCATTCACGGGTTGTAGGGAAAAACAACGTTAGCTGTTTTATATACAGGGTGAATTGCTACTCGTGCTACAAACTTCTCCAGTAGATTCTTCACCCTAAAATGAACAAAAAAGTTCATATTGTCCATGGTCCGATTCTCAACCATTTCAGAGTAATTTCGCTTTTTATCGATTTTGAAAGATATCACGTCCTGGCGTCGGAAAATCGTGATATCTTTTAATCTAAACATTTCTCTGAAAATCTAATAGCACCGTTGAAATTCCCGTTAATTTTTCAATAAGAAGATGACGGTGGCAAAATGTTTGGGCTAATTTTTTGTGTTTTATTTCAGCCAGAACTACAAAAAGAGTGGAAAATTGTGTAAATCGGAAAGTGTATAAAGTAATCCAGAGTTTCTAATTTTAGTCTCAGAAGGCAGCAAATTTGAGGAAAACTACCTGATTTAATAACGCTTCCAACGCACTCGTCATTTTCTTATTTAGTGGTTGTGAGACCAAGATGTTGATGACAAAAAGAGAAAAAATGGTGGTTCAAGGATTGCTAATGTTTGAGAGTGACTTGCTACTCGTGCTACAAACTTCACCAGTAGATTCTTGACCCTAAAATGAACAAAAAAGTTCATATTGACCATGGTCCGATTCTCAACCATTTCAGAGTAATTTCGCTTTTTATCGATTTTGAAAGATATCACGTCCTGGCGTCGGAAAAT